GTTTCATCTTACTCCCTAAAATTTGTAAAGATGATATAAAACAACAATATTAAATGTTGGAGGGGCTATAGGATGATAGGAACACTAATGAATTGTTGGTGGGGCTGTGAATTGATACATTTTGCAAAGATTTGGAATTATGTAAACAAAGTGATTAAAATGTCCATATCTTTTGACCCATCATTGGGCTTATAACCCAAGGAAACTGCTAATAAGAAGAAAATTTCCATTTACACCAAAATATTTATAACAGCACTTTTTATAATAGCAAAGAACTGGAAACAAAGCAGATGCCTTTCAATTGGGAAACAGCTAAACAAATCATGATACATGAAGGTATTAGAAAATTGCTGTGCTATAAGAAATTATATATGTAGTTAATACAGAAAAGCATGGAAAGATCTGTAAGAACTGATGCAGAGTGAAGTAAGCAGAGCCAAGAAAACAAATATACAAAACTACAACAAAACAACTATACACCAAAAAAAAAAATCAAAAGTGAATGCAATAAAATTGTAATTGATTGATTGAGCACTTGAAAGAAAAGATATAAGAGGACATCCCCAAGTAATCCCTTCATGGGGGGGTTGAAGATCCACAAGTCTTACATATTGAATATTTTGGGGGGGAATTTTTCAATGTGTTCATCAGTTATGTTAATTTTTTCCCTCTCTGAAAAAAATACTATTTATTGTTACGTGGCTCTTTGAAAGGGGGAGGGATACTTGTAATAATTATGATGATGCAAGAAATAGAAGATTTCCATAAAAACTCTTTTTAAAAAAGGCATTGCAGGCATGGGAGATCATCTTACAAAAGTTCATAAGGAAGTTGTAGAAGTAAGAGAAGGGCCAGGTATTGCTAAAGCCAAGACAGGAGAAAGTAACCTGTAGTACTCCTGTTTCTTAGGCTAAGAGATAACATAGATCATTTATCTTAACTCCCTCATTTTACAAATGAAGAAACTTGAGGCCCATAGAGGATAAAATACAAGGTTAGTGAAAGATCCAGGATTTGAATCCATGTCCTTTGACTCCAAATCTAGTGTTTTCCCTACTATACTAAACAACATCTTATTTTACTATTCCAGAATTTTAAGCTGATGGACTATTCAATATCCAAGAAAACTTGATTTTATATATCTTAGTTCACTAGTCGGACCTTAAAGTATCCTTAATAACTTTCTTGACTATGAATCAAGGAGACTTTTGGAAAAGTGAGGAGAGCTATAATTTAAGAAGAAAAGTAACAGTAGAGATGCCCCAGAAGTTAACAGGAGACAAATCCAAAAATATTTCCAGCAATTACAACAAGGCTTTGTGTGTCTCTATATAAATGCATATGTGGGTAACAAGAAAAGTGAGCTAGAGATCCTAATACTAGGAGAATTTAAACTCATGAATGAAATTTACTGGAATGAGACCTATGAGAAAATATGAAAGGCAAAAGGACAAGAAGTATGAAAGGAATTGTATAACAAAGAAATGTGGTCATGTGAAGAAATCCATGAGCCAATGGAGAGTAGTGTGGTAGAGAATACTTTGGTAAAGATCAACAGAGGCAGAAACAGAAGCAAAATTTTAACTGGAGTAAAATGTAGATGGCCTGAATAGAAAAGGAACTTGAGAAACAACTAAGGCTGGCACAAAAGCATGATATACTAGAGATGGGAGACATTTGCTATATCTCTGTCTCTCAAGCAAAGTAGTTGGGGTAGGGGGGCATGGAACTAGTGTTGTAGAAAGCTTAAGACATAAGGTTTGGAACAGTTGCAGAGGATAGTAATATAGTGAATCAATTAGAGAGTCTGCCTTGTGGCAGCAAGGACCCACCTGAGTCCTCATTCCTAAGCATACATTTATAGTAAATTCAGTCAGCATAATTTTCTAATGATCTTTAGCTTTGTCCTACAACATGTGAACAGGATAGAAGGAGGGGGATAGTAGGAATAATCCAAGATTAATAAGAAATGATTGGTTATAGGAGAAGAGGGCATTGAGGATGGAAGATAGTATAAAGTTGAGTTGATTCACAAAAGGGTCAGGATTGGGAAGGGAAGAGAGTGTTATTAGTGCAGGAGTGTTAGCCTGGAAAAGAACTGAAGGCTAGAAGGATTGGAGGGCACAATAAGGATGAAGAATGTGGTTAGGGGTAGTAAGAAATAGGGAAAGATGGGATGATAAAAAAAATGATGATCAGATAAAGGAATTTCAGAGTTCTTGAACAAGGAAGGGGAACATTGGTGGGACACAGCAATCAAAGGTATGAACATTTCTGTGTATAGCTGAGGTGGAGTAGAGGAGTAGATCATGGGAATTGAATCAATTGAAGAAATGGAAAGCTAGGGCATTTGAAGAGAAAGACTGTGAGTCAGGCACTGAATACATTGATCAAGGAAGGAGAATGTCCTGAGGATTATGATGGATAAAGAACCATGAGCATATCAGTTGGGTGATGTGTGGTCCTGACTGGTGAAAGTAAGAAGTGAAAGCCACAAACTTAAACTCTGTGAAAGGTAGAAGCCCTGCCATGGTGACCTGTTAAAAACTATAACTCAGGGGGCACCAGTCCTGGAGTCAAGAGGACCTAAGTTCAACTCCGGCCTCAGACACTTGACACTTAGTAATGTGTGATCCTGGGCAAGTCATTTAACCTCGAATGCCTCACCCCCCAAAAATAAAAAGAAATTATAACTTAGATACAAAAATCATAATTCAGACACTGACTCATAGCTTAGATACCATGACTGGTATATGACCAGTACCCAAGTTTGAGTGCCTAAGCATTTACCCAAGAGCACTGGGTAAATGCCTGGATGTCTGGGAACTGGGTTCAATACTAAGTATAAAATATTAGCCAAAACATTAACTAAGCAGAAAAACCCAAAATATCCACCAATCCATAGTTATGTACTCTATGGTTCCACCTCCCTTTGTCTGATTTATATCATCACCACTGGGCTTTCTTAGGGTCTTTGTGGGGATCCACTGAATCAGCTAGCTGCCGCCCCAGATTGCCCCTGTTTGTAAGTAATCATAATGATTGATTAAACTGTCATAACCAATCTGGAGCTTCTTGACCTCTTCCTTTGGTATTAAACTCACCTTACACTATGGAGGAGGTACACGTTCCCCAGCCAGGGGAATTCTGGACCTTACAAGTATTAATCTCAAAGGAGAAATTGCTCAGTGAAAATGGTTGAGGGAAGGTCTGGAAATGGCAATAGGGTACAAAGAATAGTCCAACTCTACCAACACAACCACTGAGTTGGAGGTATGAGAGAAAATGTAGCCAGTCCTTTTTCTTCTCTCCTCAAACCTCTCATACCACTCCCTTCTATTCTTGGCTGAGGACTTCAACTCATACTTTGCTCCTCAAAACTGAGGCCATTTGCTAAGATTCCCTCTTTTCTACTCCTTATCTTACATCACTCTGACACTCTCTCCCCCCATCACCTCCTCAACTCCAGCTTCTGATGATAAGGTGACTCTTCTGGATGTCAAGGTCAACACACTCTTATCTTCTCTATCTACTAGCTTCTTCCCTGCTGCTTATAAACATGCTTATTCCCACTCCCCTTTACTATATGTTATCATGACTAACACCTATCATCCTATATCTCTTTTCTCCTCTTCATCTAAACTCTTTGAAAGAGTTGCATACAATTAGTGCTACCATTTCCTTTCTTCTCACCCTTTTCTAAACCCTCTGCAATATGGATTTTTACCTCATCATTCAAATGTAACAGCTCTTTCTGAACTTATTAATGATCCCTTAATTGCCATATCTAATGGTCTCATCTACATCCTCCTCCCCCTTGTTCTCTACCTTTCCTCTTCGATTCTCTTTCCTTTCTGTGATTTTGTGACTGTTTTCTCTCTTGGATCTCCTCCTGTCTAGCTGACTTCTTCTTTTCAATCTTTTTTTTTTTGCTTGAATCTTCATCCATTTCATGCCTACTAACTATGGGTGTTCCTCAAGGTTCTGCCCTTGGTCCTCTTTTCTCTTTATACTTTCTCCCTTGCTAATCTCATGATTTCTATATTTATTTCTTCAGCTCACCAATTATCAGTTGAACATTTCAAACTGAATGTCAAACTCAACATGCCCAAAAGAGAATTCATTATCGTTCTCCACAAGCCCTATCCCCCTTCTGAACTTCCTTATTACTGTAATGGCACCGCTATCCTCCCAGACACTTTGGTGCCATCTTCAACTTCCCTCTCTCACTCATTTTACATATCAAATCATTTGCCAAATCTGGTAATTTCTTTCTATACAATATCTCTTGTATATGAACCCTTCTTTTTACCACATAGGTACTACCCCAGTCCCAGTACCTCTTACCTTGACAAATGCAAAGTCTTTCCCTATTGCAATTGGTCTCCCTGCTGACTTTTCTCATCCCAATCTGTCCTTTACAAAGTTTCCCAAGTGATTTTGCTAAGGTGTCATTCACCAGCTTAGTAAATTCCAGTGACTCCTTATTAGCTCAGGATTAAATATTCCATTGTTAATCATTTAAAACTCTTCACAACCTGGAACCTCTTTACTTTTTTGATAGTCTTACATTCTACTGCTTTTGCACTAGCTGTTTCCCCATGCTTGGAATGCTGTACTTCCCTGCAATTCTCTGACTCTCAGCATCCCTTGCTTCTTTTAAGATTCATCTTAAGTGCTACCTCTTCCAGGAGGCCTTTCCCTGTCCTCCAGACTATCAGTGCCATCCTCTCTTAAGGCTACCTTTCATCTAGTCTGAATTTATCTTATATGTATTGATATAGATCTAAATCTATAACTCCATTCGTTCATCTATCTCTCTATCTATCTAGTTTCCCTCATTAGAAAGAAAGCTCCTTGAGGGCAAGGGAACTTTTTGCCCTTTTTTTTTAACATTTCAATTGCTTAATACAACCTTGCACATAGCAAATGCTTAATAAATATTAGTTGACTGACTGAAACTTAGACGAGCATCTCTTTTGAGGCCCAGTAATCCTTACCTGGTTGCAAACATGGCACGCAAGGATGAGAAAGTTGCTGCATCTTCTTTCAAGGCCTTCAATTCATTTCTAAGTTTCGTCATGGTCTCAGTCACCATTGTTTTTTCATTTTCATATTTATTCTTCAGGTTAGCTAGTGCTACCTCAGCTGTCTGAAACAGGGAAAATTATAAGAATTCTAAGAAACTCATTGTCTTTATTTATTTGGTGTCATCTCCATTAGAATGTAAGTTCCTTAAAGGTAAGGACTATCTTACCTTTGTTTTCCCACTGCTTACCCCATAGCGCCTGCTGCATATATGTGATTTTTAATTGATAGACTGATTTTGTTACTATCTAGTTAGCTAGAACCTAATGAATGTCAAGTTTTATGCCTACTTTTGTATTTAACAAATTAAAAATTAATTAAAAACATAGTATACTGGGGGCATAGCCAAGATGGCAAAGTAAAAGCAGTGACTTGCTTGAGCTCCTCCCCCAAACCCTCCCAATATCTGTAAAAATGACTCGATACAAATTCTAGAACAGCAGAACCCACAAAGAGACAGAGTGAAACAAATTTCCAGCTTCAGACAACCTGGAAGATGGATGGGAAAGGTCTGTTGCACCAGGCTGGGACAGGACTGCAGTTCAGCATGGGCTGTGCAGGCAAAGACCAGTCCCCAGCAAACCTGGAGCAAGCCTCAGGGTATGGAATCATAGGCAGCTGTGGCAGTTTCCAAACTTCTTAATCCAAAAATGCTAAGGACAACTTGGAAGGTCAGTGGAAAAGGTCCGTTGGGCCTGGGTGAGCATAGAATGGTCCAGCCCTGGCTCTACCATAGCCCGTACTGGGGTGGTGGTCATATCAGCAGTGGCTGCTTCCAGAGCTCCCAATCCACAGACAGTAAGGGCATCAAACAACTGATCAGAAGGAGTTTACAAGGGTCTCTCTGCTGGCACTGAGGCCGGATTCTGTTGCTTTGCCTATATTTGGATCTGGGTAGCAGTCCTGGGGCTATATGAATGTAACAGAGTACTGTTGTGCTATAAGAAACGATGAGCAAGCAGCCTTCAGAAAAACCTGGAAAGACTTGTATGGACTGATGCTGACTGAAGTGAGCAGAACCAGAAGAACACCGTATACATTGTCACATTGTGCGATGACTAATTTTGATAGACTTAGCTCTTCTCAGAAATACAAGGACCTAAGACATCTCCAAAAGTCTAATGATGGAAAATGCTATTTGCATCCAGAGAAAGAATTATGGAGTCTGAATATAGACTGAAGCGTTAAAAAAAAATTGTTTCTACATACAACTGAGAAATAAGATACATAAGAAATGGGGTATCTAGATAGATAGAAATCTATTTCCCTACAGGAAAACAGAAGGAGGACATAAGAGAAGGTGGTAGGTAAAAGAAGGGAGAGTCAATTGGGGAAAGGGGTAATCAGAATGCATGCCATCATGGTGTGGGGAGGGGAGGGATAGGGAGAAAATTTGGAACTCAAAATCTTGTGGAAGTGAATGTTGAAAACTAAAAATAAATAAATAAATTGAAAAAACATAGTACACTGGTATCACATAATACATGTTTATATACATTTTTGACAAAAAATTTCTTTTAAGGTCTACATGTATTTGGTGTATGAATGGTTGTATTATATAGTAGAAAATATACTAGACTAGAAGTCAGGAAACCTGGATTCTAAGTCCATCTCCATCAATGATCACTTGTGTGGCCTTTAATATGACACTTAGGTTCCTCAATAAGATGAAGAGTTGAACTAAATGATTTCTTTTAGCTCTCAACTTCTGATTCCAATTCAGCATTTTGAAATTTCATAAGAAGAAAGCTCCACTGATTTCAACCTGCTTGTGTCTGTCCTAAGCTCATATTTGGGGGTTTGAGAAGGTGTTGGGTTGTAATGAAAAAAGGAGATGTAATATCAATAAACCAAGTATTTGGTATGGCAATATCTTGTGGTGTGCTGGTAAATGTTGAACAACTGGCTCTCCAAAAAACAGCATGCACAATATATTTTAAAGTTTAATCTGCATTATTAACATTTTCTCTATTATTTTTTTAAGTCTGTACCAGGGATCAGCAGACTATGACCTGAGAACCAAATCAGGCTGGTAACTACGAACTGGTTGGGGGGTTTTTTTGGCAATAATTTTTATTTTTATTGTTAAAAATTATTTATTTTTAGTTTTCAATATTCATTTCCACAGGATTTTGAGTTCCAAATTTTCTCCCCATCTCTCCCATTCCACTCCTCCCCACCATGACAGTGTGAATTCTGATTACCCTTTACCCCAATCTGCCCTCCCTTCTATCTCCCCCCCTCTTTCTATTAGCCCTTTCTCCTTCTATTTTCCTGTAGGGTAAGATAGATTTCCATACCCCATTGTCTGTGTATCTTATTTCCCAGTTGCATATAAAAACAATTTTAAACATTTGTTTTTAAAACTTTGATTTCCAAATTCTCTCCCTTCCTCCCTACCTACCTACCCTCATTGAGAAGGCAATCTGATATGTTATACATGTGCAGTCATGCAAAACGCTTCCATAATAGTCATGTTGTGAAAGACTAACTATATGTCACCTCCATCCTATCCCATCCTCCGTTTATTCTATTCTCACTTGACCCTGTCCCTCCTCAAAAGTGTTTGCTTCTGATTGTCCCCTCCCCCAATCTGCCCTCCCTTCTATCACACCCCATTATCCCCTTCTCCCCTACTTTCCTATAGGGTAAGATAGATTTCCATACCCAATTGAGTGTGTATGTTATTCCCTCCTTAAGCCAATTCTGATGAGAGTAAAGTTCACTCATTCCCTCTCATCTTCCCCCTTCCCCTCCACTGTAAAAGCTTTTTCTTGCCTCTTTTATGTGAGATAATTTACCCCATTCTACCTCTCTCCCTCTCCTATTCCCAGTACCTTTCTCTCATCCCTTAATTTAATTTTTTAAATATCATCCCTTCATATTCAACTCACCCTGTGCCCTATATAGTGACATACTGCCCTACTAGTGAGAAAGGTCTCATGAGTTACAACTATCATGCAGGAACGTAAGCAGTTCAATTTTAATAAGTCCCTTGTGATTTCTCTTTCTGGTTTATCTTTTCATGCTTCCCTTGAGTCAATTAAAAAAAGTAATATTTAAAAGTCAATTTTTCTATTTAGTTCTGGCTTATCAAGAATGCATTAAATTCCTCTACATCACTGAATGTCAGTTTATTGTACTCAGTTTTGCTAGGCAGGTGATTCTTGGTTTTAATCCTAGCTCCTTTGACCTCTGGAATATATTCTAAGGCCTGTGATCCCTTAATGTAAAGCTGCTAAATCTTATGTTATCCTGATTGTGTTTCCACAATATTTGAATTGTTTCTTTCTGGTTGTGTGCCATATTTTCTCCTTTACTGGGAATTCTGGAATTGCTATAATATTCCTGAAACTATTCCTTTTGGGATCTCTTTTAGGAGGTGATCAGTGGATTCTTTCCATTTCTATTTTGCCCTCTGGTTCTAGAATATCAGGGAAGTTTTCCTTGATAATTTCTTGAGAGATGATATCTAAGCTCTTTTTTTGATCATGGCTTTCAGGTAGTCCAATAATTTTAAAATTCTCTCTCCTGTATCTATTTTCCAAGTCAGTTGTTTTTCCAATGAGATATTTCACATTGTCTTCTATTGTTTCATTCTTTTGCTTTTATTTTTATAATTTCTTGATTTCCCATAGAGTCATTAGCTTCCATTTGCTCCATTTTAATTTTTAAGGAATTATTTTCCTCAGTGAGCTTTTGGACTTCCATTTCCATTTGGCCAATTCTGCTTTTTAAGGCATTCTTTTCCTCACTGGCTTTTTGGACCACTTTGGTCATTTGGTCTAGTCTATTTTTTAAGGTGTTATTTTTGGGGGGTCTTCTTTAGCAAGCTGTTGACTCATTTTTCATGATTTTCTCACATCACTCTCATTTCTCTTCCCAATTTTTCCTCTACTTCTTCCACTTGATTTTCAAAATCCTTTTTGAGCTCTTCCATGGCCTGAGACCAATTCCTATTTTTCTTGGAGGCTTTGGATGTAGGAGCTTTAACTTTGTTGTCTCCTTCTGGTTGTATGTTTTGATCTTCTTTGTCACCATAGTTAAGATTCTATAGTCTGAGTTTTTGGCCTCTGTTTGCTCATTTTCCCAGTCAACTAGTTGACTTTGTAACTCTTTTGTTAAGGTAGGGCTCTGCTTCCAGTGTGGAGGTCATACTTACAAGCTTTAGTTATTTTGCGTAACTGTTTTCAGAGATACTTCTAGGAACCCGTAAGTTTTCAGTTCTTTCAAGGTGACATAATATAAGGAGAGGTGTTTATTCTTCCTCTGTCCTGTGGTCTGGTCTATGAGTGACCACAAGCACTCTTTCCTTCCCTGAACTGCGAGGAGGATTCCCTCTTCACTGTTGCCACAAGCTCTGCTGTGCAAATGCATAGCCTTGCCCCAGGACCACCACCCAAGACTGTGACCCATATTCAAGTATGGGCAAAGCAATCCTGCCTCAGTGCCAGGAAAGATATCTCTGTAACCTCCTTCTGATCAGTTATTTGATACCCTTACCGTCTGTGTGCTGAGATCTCCAGAAGCAGTCATAACCCCTGCTGCTGCCACTGCAGCTGCCCCAGGGCTGTGTTGGGGCCGGGGCTTGTCTTCGCCCTTCTCTCACCCAGGTCCAACAGACCTCCTATACTGACTTCTAAGTTGTCTTTGGCATTTGTGGTTTGAGAAGTCTGCTGTCACAGCTGACAGTGATTCATTCCCCTGAGGCCTACTTGGGGCCCTGGTCTGTGCTGGCACAACCTGTGCTAGATTGTGCTTCTCTCCCAGCCTGGTGCAACAGACCTTTCCCATCAACCATCCAGGTTGTCTTGGACTGGAAATTTGTTTCACTCTGTCTTTTTGTGGGCTCTGCTGTTCTAGAATTTGTTTAGAGTCATTTTTTACAGGTATTTGGAGGGGTTTGGGGGAGAGTTCAAAAGTCACCGCTTTTACTCTGCCATCTTGGCTCTGCCCCCTACAGTAAATTTTTATATTTTAAAATACAATAAAACTTTGTTTAAAAATATAAATAACCATTCCTAGCTCAAGGCCCCCACTAAAACAAAGAGAGCCTGGATTTGG